CCTTCAGTTACCACCTTTACATGTTCACGTAGCATCTCACTTTTCCCTACCCCCCGGGAAGTTCCAGCTGTTCAGGTGTGTTCTTTCTCACTCCCTTGCTCGAAAGCCCAACTGCCTAAGGTGGCTTCCCGCTCTTGTTTTCTTGACCACTTCCACTCTCATTCTCATGCCATCGCAGTGTACACAGATGGCTCTAAGTGTTCTGACGGCGTCGGATTCGCAGCAGTTTCTGGACAGCGTCGTGCGAGGGCATTTACTGTCTTCGGCTAGTACTTTTACTGCTGAATTGTATGCCATTCTTGCAGCACTTATTCATATCGCATCTATGCCTGTGTCATCATTTGTGGTTGTCTCAGACTCCCTTAGTGCTTTACAGGCTATACGGAAATTTGATACACCTCACCCCCTAGTTCTCCGTATCCAACTTTGGCTACGCCGTATCTCTACCAAGCATAAAGATATTTTTTTGTTGGGTCCCTGGTCATGTTGACGTACAGGGCAATGAACAGGCAGACACTGCTGCGCGGTCAGCAGTACATGACCTACCAATTTCATATAGAGGTGTTCCATTTCCGGACTATTTTGCTGTAATAGGTACCCACCTTCACACCCGTTGGCAACAACGTTGGTCAACTCTACTCGGTAACAAACTTCATTCTATTAAACCGAGCATAGGTTACTGGCCGTCTTCTTGTCATCAGTTCCGAGGTTGGGAGACTACTCTCTCCCGCCTTCACATTGGCCACACTCGTCTTACTCATGGGTATCTCATAGAGAGGCACCCTGTTCCTCTCTGTGAGAAGTGTCAAGTTCCAGTATCAATTAGCCACATTCTGTTAGACTGCCCTCTATCAACGAGCATGCAGAATTTACCTCCAACGTCGTCTCTGCTCTACTACTCTCTACCTTCCCTTCTTGCTGATGGACCCTCCTTTAACCCTGACTCTCTCATTGACTTCTTAACAACGACTGATTTACTCCACAAACTCTGATGATGATACCTTTCGCACTCCCCTCAGCCCTTTCTACTTCAATCTCTTGCTGCCCTTTACCCTTTCACCATCCACTGCCCCGCTGTTCTCCGTAACCTATTACTCATCCATCTCCCTTTTACCACCTGATACCCTCGCTTCCTTCCTGCCCTGCAGACCTGTATAGCCCTTGTGGTTTAGCGCTTCTTTTTGATAATAATAATAATCCCTTCATATGTACATGAATCCAATAAACATCTCTATATAAATGAACTAATTTGCTATAAAATAAGAACCATATAAAAGGATAGGTAAGAAGCAAACTTATAATATGCAGTAAGAAAATAACTGTTAGAAAAATACACTGTAAATAACTATATAAATAAAAAGCTTAAGATACGATATATGTCATACCAACTTCTAAGGTGTTATCAAATATAGTTTTCATAAATGATGCATTCTTTACTGTATCATTTTCCATTACCAGCAGAGAAGTCTATAAAGAATCTAATACTAGCTTTTTCCTTATATATATATGGCAAATTTGTGCAATGCTCCTAGGTTATACATAAAAATTTGAATCCATGCAAATGACAATTCTTCACTTAGTCTAGCCATCTTGAATCATTGCAAAATTTCTCCCATTCTTCTATAAATTACATCTATACATGGGAAAAGAGGGACTATAAGTGTATAAATTCAAGGATTATGTGGAGTAAAATAAAGATTGGATGTGTAAAAGTGGGTTATAATAAGCGTGTATGCACCTGGAGAAGAGAATAGTGTAGAGGAGAGAGAGAGATTTTGGGAAATGTTGAGTGAATGCGTGGGGAGTTTTGAATCAAGTGTGAGAGTAATGGTGGTTGGGGATTTCAATGCTAAAGTGGGTAAAAATGTTATGGATCGAGTAGTAGGTAAATTTGGGGTGCCAGGGGTAAATGTAAATGGGGAGCCTTTAATTGAGCTATGTGTAGAAAGAGATTTGGTAATAAGTAATACATATTTTATGAAAAAGAGGATACATAAATATACAAGGTATGATGTAGCACGTAATGAAAGTAGTTTATTAGATTATGTATTGGTGGATAAAAGGTTGATGGGTAGGCTCCAGGATGTACATGTTTATAGAGGGGCAACTGATATATCGGATCATTATTTAGTTGTAGCTACAGTTAGAGTAAGAGGTAGATGGGAAAAGAGGAAAGTGGCAACAACAAGTAAGAGGGAGGTGAAAGTGTATAAACTAAGGGAGGAGGAAGTTCGGGTGAGATATAAGCGACTATTGGCAGAAAGGTGGGCTAATGCAAAGATGAGTAGTGGGGGGGTTGAAGAGGGTTGGAATAGTTTTAAAAATGCAGTATTAGAATGTGGGGCAGAAGTTTGTGGTTATAGGAGGGTGGGGGCAGGAGGAAAGAGTGATTGGTGGAATGATGAAGTAAAGGGTGTGATAAAAGAGAAAAAGGTAGCTTATGAGAGGTTTTTACAAAGCAGAAGTGTTATAAGAAGAGCAGAGTATATGGAAAGTAAAAGAAAGGTAAAGAGAGTGGTGAGAGACTGCAAAAGGAGAGCAGATGATAGAGTGGGAGAGGCATTGTCAAGAAATTTTAATGAAAATAAGAAAAAATTTTGGAGCGAGTTAAACAAGTTAAGAAAGCCTAGAGAAAGTATGGATTTGTCAGTTAAAAACAGAGTAGGGGAGTTAGTAGATGGGGAGAGGGAGGTATTAGGTAGATGGCAAGAATATTTTGAGGAACTTTTAAATGTTAAGGAAGAAAGAGAGGCAGTAATTTCATGCACTGGTCAGGGAGGTATACCATCTTTTAGGAGTGAAGAAGAGCAGAATGTAAGTGTGGGGGAGGTACGTGAGGCATTACGTAGAATGAAAGGGGCTAAAGCAGCTGGAACTGATGGGATTTTGACAGAAATGTTAAAAGCAGGGGGGGAAATATAGTGTTGGAGTGGTTGGTACTTTTCTTTAATAAATGTATGAAAGAGGGGAAGGTACCTAGGGATTGGCAGAGAGCATGTATAGTCCCTTTATATAAAGGGAAAGGGGACAAAAGAGACTGTAAAAATTAAAGGGGGTAAAGCAGCTGGAACTGATGGGATCATGACAGAAATGTTAAAAGCAGGGGGGGATATAGTGTTGGAGTGGTTGGTACTTTTGTTTAATAAATGTATGAAAGAGGGGAAGGTACCTAGGGATTGGCGGAGAGCATGTATAGTCCCTTTATATAAAGGGAAAGGGGACGAAAGAGATTGTAAAAATTATACAGGAATTAGTTTACTGAGTATACCAGGAAAAGTGTACGGTAGGGCTATTATTGAAAGAATTAGAGGTAAGACAAAATGTAGGATTGCGGATGAGCAAGGAGGTTTTAGAGTGGGTAGGGGATGTGTAGATCAGGTGTTTACACTGAAGCATATATGTGAACAGTATCTAGATAAAGGTAGGGAAGTTTTAATTGCATTTATGAATTTAGAAAAGGCATATGATAGAGTGGATAGGGGAGCAATGTGGAAGATGTTGAAAGTATATGGAATAGGTGGTAAGTAACTAAATGCTGTAAAGAGTTTTTATGAGGACAGTGAGGCTCAGGTTAGGGTGTGTAGAAGAGAGGGAGACTACTTCCCGGTAACAGTAGGTCTTAGACAGGGATGTGTAATGTCACTATGGTTGTTTAATATATTTATAGATGGGGTTGTACAAGAAGTAAACGCTAGGGTGTTCGGGAGAGGAGTGGGATTAAATTATGGGGAATCAAATACAAAATGGGAAGTGACACAGTTACTTTTTGCTGATGATACTGTGCTTATGGGTGATTCTAAAGAAAAATTGCTGAGGTTAGTGGACGAATTTGGGAGTGTGTGTAAAGGTAGAAAGTTGAAAGTGAATATAGAAAAGAGTAAGGTGATGAGGGTATCAAATGATTTAGATAAAGAAAAATTGGATATCAAATTGGGGAAGAGGAGTATGGAAGAAGTGAATGTTTTCAGATATTTGGGAGTTGATGTATCAGCAGATGGATTTATGAAGGATGAGGTTAATCATAGAATTGATGAGGGAAAAAAGGTGAGTGGTGCGTTGAGGTATATGTGGAGACAAAGAACATTATCTATGGAGGCAAAGAAGGGAATGTATGAAAGTATAGTACCAACACTCTTATATGGGTGTGAAGCTTGGGTTGTAAATGTTGCAGCGAGGAGGTGGTTGGAGGCAGTGGAGATGTCCTGTCTAAGGGCAATGTGTGGTGTAAATATTATGCAGAAAATTCGGAGTGTGGAAATTAGAAGGTGTGGAGTTAATAAAAGTATTAGTCAGAGGGCTGACGAGGGGTTGTTGAAGTGGTTTGGTCATTTAGAGAGAATGGATCAAAATAGAATGACATATAGAGCGTATAAATCTGTAGGGAAAGGAAGGCTGGGTAGGGGTAGTCCTCAAAAGGGTTGGAGGGAGGGGGTAAAGGAGGTTGTGTGGGCGAGGGGCTTGGATTTCCAGCAAGCGTGTGTGAGCGTGTTAGATAGGAGTGAATGGAGACGAATGGTATTTGGGACCTGACAAGCTGTTGGAGTGTGAGCAGGGTAATATTTAGTGAAGGGATTCAGGGAAACTGGTTATTTTATATAGTCAGACTTGAGTCCTGGAAATGGGAAGTACAATGCCTGCAATTTAAAGGAGGGGTTTTGGGATATTGGCAGTTTGGAGGGATATGTTGTGTATCTCTATGTACATATATATACTTCTAAACTGTTGTATTCTGAGCACCTCTGCAAAAACAGTGATTATGTGTGAGTGAGGTGAAAGTGTTGAATGATGATGAAAGTATTTTCTTTTTGGTGATTTTCTTTCTTTTTGGGTCACCCTGCCTCAGTGGGAGACGGCCGACTTGTTAAAAAAAAAAAAATACAGTAATTCCAAAGGCCTTGGCAATTTTATGAAAATCATTTTTTTTTTTTTGATGAACAAGTACATATCTATAGCTGGCCTAATACAACAAACCATTTAGTAAAACAGTAAAAAAGATCAACCTGGGAGGCTGGATGTTGACTTGGACAATGTAGGAACAGGTGGTGGTGGGTGGGTAGGTCTTCCTCCAGGAAGAACACTGTGGGGAATGTCCTTGGCAAGCAGTGGGTCAAAGATTTCATCTTGTGGGGACTCCAGAAAAATTAGGTCCTGAGCCGACCCGTCCTGAAAAAGTCAAGAAGAAATAGAATAAAGTGCTGATAACCCAATACACTTATGATGCAGCTATATTTGTAAAAAAAAAAAAAAAAAAAAAAAAAAAAAAGCTTGTTTTTCATCATGCACTAAATATTTCAGAGGTTAAATCAATTAACATTTTTTAATATACTGAATAATTAAAAGCAAACCAAAGCATACATTAAGTTCAAGGGTACATAAAAATAAAATAAAAAATAAAAAATGCACAACATTCACCCAATGTACCTGAAAAAAAGCATGCACTGAAGCAGGCAAATAAAAAGCAGTACTGGATCAAGCATATATTATCATAAGAACATCTATACAAAATGCTGTTTTAAAGTTTGTTTACAAAATTTTAAAAAAATTCTTAATAATACTAAATAAATTTGCAATTATGCACCCTGTGAATCCAACAAATAATAAAATAAACTGTAAATCAAGATCCCAGTGACTAAATGGGAAAAAATTATGAAAAATTTATTACCTCCTCACCCGACCCCTGATCTAAGCCAAGGTGCGGGCTAGGGCTCCTTGTGCGGCGGCCTAGGGATGGGGGAGGTGGGAGTAAGGGGCTTAGGGATGCCTGGGATGAGTCCCAAGACTTAGAAGGATGAGCAGTCATTGTAGGAGGAAGTGGACTGGAGGACTGAGGGGATGTTGGTGCAAAATGAGAATACCGTGGCGAGGGAGAAAAACTCCTTCCTTGAGGTGAGGGAGAGATGCTTCTTCCCTTTGGGGAAGGAGAGTGTAGGGGAGAAGAAAGGCTAGTTAATACAGCTGGGAGACTCATGGTCATGATGTCTGTAGGGTAAGAGGCAGAGGAGAAGAAGAGGAAATTACCAGCATAGCCAGGTCTAATGGGAGAGGAGAAAGTGGTCTGTGGTATATTTACAGGTGAACATAGGAGAGAATCTTCTGAGTTTTCTATAGCTTCAAACTCAGCTACTGGAGCTGTGTCATCTATGGACTTTGTAAGCTTTGAGTAAAAATACCCAGGAGTACCCCCTTTGGTGGAATATTTGGACAAAGAAGCAGAGAAGGCTTGACTTGCACCATACTTGGGATAATCAATGCAAGAGGAGGAAGGGTCCAGACATTCTACATGACATGACCTTTTTGAGGATTTTGTGGTAGAAAGGATTTCATGCCCATGGTGAAAACACATCCTTGCAGAAGACAGAACAGTAGATGCATTACAAGTGCCAGTAAGATTAGATGTGGTGGGTGTGGTTCTACGAGCAGAGGCAGAACATTCAGACGCAGGACTATCACAGAACTGCCTGAGCGTGCCTGATCTGGCATGGCCTCGGGTAGACGTCGAGTGGCTTGTACATACAGCAGAGACGTTGGAGACAGAAGGACGAGGAGGAGAGTGAGAATTTGGCGAGAGTTGGGTTTGTCCCCAGATATTTTCATCTAACACAGAGGAACCATCATTCCCATAAACAGTGTCGGTTGCATCAGTATCATCGTGCAGAAGCTTAGGTGAGCGAAAGTGCGAAGAGGAGGGGCTGCCTACAACATCTTCATCTTCACCACCACCACCACCATTGTCATCATCAAAGGTGACAGGGAAACGGTAGCCAAAAGATGCCATAATGGGAGGAGGAAGTTCTATGTTTAAGGAGAGGTCAATGAGAGGGAGAGAGGTGAGGCTGGCACTCAGATGCTGCAAGAGACATACAATACTGTCTTAGTTCCTCACCCTTAAATAGTTTCTTTGCATATATAATACTGTATTCCAAATCACACCTTACTCCACTATTAGTTATACCCATATCAGAGTTCCTGAAAGGTTATATGTAAATATACGAGAATTTTTATACAAAATAAAGCTCTTAACTCAGAAAAATTCACAATTAACCTGAAAAACAAATTTAAAAAGTTCATATATGTACCCATGAAATTTTGGAAGCTTGTATTATTTACATTAATGATGTAACTGTAATATATTACTCAGATTATGAATGGATAGCAGTTTTCACACGTTAAAATCACAGCACATTACATATTTAATGCACAATTCAGTGATTATTTAGCATGCAAATTGCAAGAAATCAAAAATTTTCAGATACAGTATTATATTCAAGGGGGGATAATTTTCTATATCATTTAATAAGCCAACCATACAACCTAGAAAATCATTTTAATATCCAAATTTATTTTTATTGTATAGGTAAATATTTACTTCCTTTAAATCCTATAACCCTGCAGAATCAATATGCTTGGTATCTAAAAAATTCCCTTGAAGTCTGATGAGTAAATAAAATTTTTGTGATGATCAATGCATATGGTGGCAAAAATATAAGATTTGTAACTATCACCTAATGGAACCATGCCTGCAGTACTTCTCGCCATTATTAATTGGCCACCAGGAAGCAAAAAACAAAAAATAAAGATACTCACCCTTTTAAAATCATATAAGGCTTGGATTAATTAAAAAAATTTTGAGAAATTGTGTAAGAACTGCCCTGCTGTAAGAAAGGAACAAGGCAAATGCAGGAATATAATCAAGGCATGACAATAAAAGTTTATAAAACCACATGAGGGCAACTCAAGAAAATTTCAATCACTGTTTTTTCATCAAACATAATTAACCATAAAATGAATTCATAACTGCAGCTGGTTACAGCCAAGCCAGGTTTTGCGGCAAATTAAAAATGTAATAAGCATTGCCCTTTGTATCAAATGAAATACTCTCAAGATTAAATGAAGTTCTCAATATGATAAGAAATTATTTAGCTCATGCAGTTGTAACTAAAACATGGCATTGAGACCCTAGTGCAGTTGGTAGGCCTTAAACCTGACAAGAAAGTTAAATTAATAAAGTACTGTATGTCCAATATAATTTTAACAGCATTATTATTGCACTTGAGTTATATAACAGAACCCACAGAGACTACATCAAGTAATCTGTACAGAAGATGGCAATGGGAACATTTTAAAAGGCAGAAGACAGCCTGAATGGTAAGGAAGAAAATTTAAAATATTCATTCATTTTTTTAAATCTATATGTTGTACTATACTGTACATATGTCTCAAATCATGATTCAATAGCTGTACTCTCCCGCTATGTGCACTGGAGTGAAAAAGCGGTAAACCCGCAGTATAACACCACACGAGACTTGTGGTATGAGACACCCATGTAACTTTTATAACCCTTGGTATATGAACAATACCTAACAGAATAAAAGCCATAATACCATGGCTGCAACAAACCATCATTACCCCATAAATTGGGAGGTTTAAAAATTATGGTGCTCAGTCCATTCTGGATGGAAAAATCACCTGGTTTTCATCTCTCAAATTCTGGCTTAGTTGTAAATACATGTACGTATATAATAGTACGTACATTCAATAATAATTTTTATACCACCTCACACACAAGCCCATAAGCTAAATGCTGAAAACTTCAAGCAAATTTTTATGTATACAAATACAGTAGTAAATTACAAAATATATCATTAATTATTATTTTTACATTCAAGGGGAGCACTAAACCCTTAGGGGGCATACTATGCCTGGTAATGGGAGCAATCAGGTTTGATTCAAAGAAAGAAAAAGATAAAGGTCAATTCCTTTGCTCAAGAATCCCATAACTGCATCACGATACCTCTTGCTTAAATGGAGGGGTGAATTATCATTATTATAATTGTTAATGTATTTGGGAGATTCTGAAGAGAAGTTGCAGAGGTTGTTGATGAATCTGGTAGGGTATGTAAAAAAAAGAAAATTAAAAGTGAATACATAAAAGATAAGAGTAAGGTGATGAGGATAACAAAAAACTTAGGTAGCAGAAGATTGGATATTAGATTGGAGGGAGAGAGTATGGAGGAGGTGAATGTGTTCAGATATGTATTTGGGAGTGGATGTTCAGCAGATGGGTCTAGAAAGGATGAAGTGAATCGTAGAACAACGAGGGGGAAAAGGCGAGTGGTGCACTGAGGAGACTGTGGAGACAAAGAACTTATCTATGAAAGCAGACAGAGGAATATATGAGAGTATGTTATACCAATGCTCTTGTAGGGTGGGGAGGCATGGTTGTGAATGTTGCAACAAGGAGAAGGCTGGAGGCAGTGATGTCATGTCTGAGGGCAATGTGTGGTGTATATATAATGCGAGAATCCATAGTTTTTTGGAGATTAGGGGGAGGCATGGGATTAAACCCAAAAATTTTTATCCAGAGGGCTGAGGAGGGTTATTGAGACAATTTGGAATGTATGGAGGATGGAACAAATAGAATGACTTCGAGTGTGTATAAAATCTGTAGTGGAGGGAAAGGCAGGGTAGAGGTCGCCTAGGAAAGGTTGAGGAGGGGGGTATAAGGAGGTTTTGTGTGCGAGGGGGCTTGGACTTCCAGCAAGCGTGCGCGAGTGTTAGATAGGAGTAAAGAGAGACAAATGGTTTTTAGGGCTTGACATGCTGTTGGAATGTAAGCAAGGTAAACAATTTTTGAAGGATTTACGGAAACCGGAGGCCGGGCTTGATTCCTGGAGATGGGAAGTACAGTGCCTGCATTCTGAAGGAGGGATGTTAATGTTGCATTTTTATAACTGTAGTGTAAGCATGCCTCTGGCAAGACGTGATGGAGTGAGTGGTGATGAAAGTTTTCTTTTTTGTGCCACCCTCCCTTGGTGGGAGACAGCTGATGTGTTAATAAAAAAAATTAGGGGGGAGTGCTAAACCCATAGAAGCATACAGTGCTTGGGGAATGGGAGGCAACTGGATTCAATCCAAGGGAAGAACAGGTCTTATTCTTTGATCAAGAGCCCCTCATCAACATCAAGGTATCTCCTTGATGTGAAAATGTATGTGTGTAACACTAATGGGGAATAAGCTTTTTGAGTGTACCAGGGAAGCAAAACGGAACAATTATTAAGAGAGTTAAGGGTTTAAAAGGGAAAGTAAGTTTTGCAGAGGAACAAGGAGATTTAGGAAGGATAAGAGATTTGTGGAAAAGTATTTACATTGAAAAACAATACTTTTAAGGGGAAGGAACAGTTTGCCACAATTTTTGGATTTTTGAAAAAAGGGATATGGTAGGGTGGATACTGGCCTGTCTAAGGTTAAGGACCTACCTAATATGGCCCAGGCCTGGTGCATTTCTCTTCCAAATTTTGATGTTCTTATGTTGTAAATGTATGGAATAGGTAAAGAATAAAAGGCACAATACCGTGACTGGAATACACAAACAACATGCACTTACAAAAAAACTCATGACAAACTTTGTGATCTGACTTGGACCATTAACAGTCTAAGTCAGACTGCAATGGCACAAGTTTCAGTCTCCTAAGTGTGGGTTTATTTGTGTATGGGGTAGGTAGGCTGTTATTAAAAGAAGGAAATATTTTTCTGTATTAACCCCTTCAGGGTCCAAGGCCAAAAGCTGAAGTGGTGCTCCAGTGTCCAAGAAATTTTGATAAAAAAAGAAAAAAAAAAAATATTTTTTCTTACAAATTTGAAGAGCATATTTTTTGTGAAGGTAATAAGAACAAAAAAAAAATTATGATCTCAGTATTACACGAGTTACAGTGCAAAGGAAGTTTGTCAAAAATGATGTGTGGGTGGCGCAACATCGACGTATTCACATACAGTCGCATTACATCTATTTTGCTCAGGTTTTTATTAGTTTTTTCTTTTCTTTTCCAATTTTTTTCTATTCCTTACTAACATTGGGGCCTGAGGAGACCAATACTGTATATAATGTATATATATAAACTCACTGTATTGAAACAATAACCGCACTAAGTTATTATCTTTATCTTTTTACCACTGTTGTTATTACACATAAAATTGCCCACCCCCAAATCTTGTATAATACTAATGTTTCTATCATATATTTCATATTTACAATCACTGGACATGGTTTTAAGAACTGCTGGGCGCTTGTGGAACTCCTTGAAGCAAGGTCACCATGACAGAGGGCACCTTACATTCCTCACACATAAATACGAGTGTTTTGCGTCTTTGTTGCCGTCGTTTTGTTTGTGCACAGACGATGCATCTCTTCTGAGCAAATTTCTTCTGAGTTGAAGGATAGTTGTATTGTGAATATGACACCTTCCCTCCTCAAACACTTGGGTATATCCTGAGAATTGAAGGGTACGTGTTGTATAGCTGGTGTGTCTTACCTTGCGTACTTCATTATGAGTTGTCTGCAATGACAAACACAAATTCACCATACGGTGGTCTGTTGCCAGTCTTATTTGTTACATATTATATGCAATTGAGCATTGAAATGTCCATGAGATGGAAGAAGAAAAGTTTCATATACCTAACTGTTGTAACTCTTACGACACAGTCAACCAAAACCAATCTGCATGTCACCACTTGTCAAACCAAGCGCATGTTTTGTGTATAATCAATCACTGACACTGGTTTTCGAAGACGTTCTTAGTCACTCGATCAACTTTCGCCACTGTTGCATTATCATTACAGTGAATGGATGTCAACAATGTGGACATCTCGTTTGTCATGCACCATAATGCCATGATGTCATGAGAGGCAAGTAAACACCTGCTGACTCGTGATACATCACCACGAGCACCTGCGTTGAGCCTGGGAATATGTGTCGATTAGACGCATGTGCCACAACATCTGTCTTGTTCACTCGCTGAAATCACCGAAGTAATGGGCTTGTGTACCAGGTTATCGGTATATAATGGTATG